TAGTTCATGGACCAGGGATCAAACCTGCATCCTTTGCATTGACAGACGGAGTCTTTTAGATATTTATTCTTGGCTACACTGGGTCTTTGTTGCTTTGCACAGGCTTTCTCTAGTTGTGGCAGGTGGGGGCTGCTCTTTGCTGTGGTGCCCAGGCTTCTCTTGTTGTGGAGAACGGGCTCTAGGTGTGTGGGCTTCAGTAGTTGTGGCATGCGGGCTCAGTAGTTGAGGCTCATGGGCCTTAGAGCATAAGCTCAGTAGTTGCTTAGTTGCTCCCTGGCATGTGGAATCTTCCCAGGCCAGGGATTGAACCCATGTCCACTGCATTGGCAGCTGGATTCCTATCCACTGCGTCACCAGAGAGATCCCTGTAATGTTTTACTTAGTAAACTGGCCTTTCAAATCCTTGGTGCATTTGAAAAATGAGATGATTTTTTTCTTCCTGATTTCCAAGAAGTCATAGTATAGATATTATAATATTAATGTTTCTATAGTTAAATTAGGTAGAATTTATGCCAATTTTTGATGGATTTTGACCTACAGAAATGTTAGTTCCTTACCATTCCAGCTTACATGTTGCAAACATAGTGAGCAGTTGCTTGACTAATTTTGCTCATGGAGTGGTTGTCATGTGAAAGGTTTAAGGTTTGGCTAGTTCAAATTTACCCATTATTTCATTTCATTTCTGTTTTTGTTTCTATTTAAGAATGCTTTCCCTTCTCTGGGGTCTTAACGATATTCTACAATACTTTATTCTAATATTCATTTCTGCTTTTCCAATTCTGTTCCAATTTCACGGCTGATTCATCTGGAATTCATGCTATTTAGGTTATTTTTCGTGAGTGAGCTGGTTTTCCCAGCATGATTTGTTGTGTGGCTCATCCTTTTGTAACTGAATATGACAGTTTCTCCCCTATACTGAATTCCCACCTGTGGACCTGTCCATTGCCCATGTCTAATTTTACAGAGTTTGTACTGTACATACATAACCAGCCTGCCAGTGCAGGAGACATAAGAAACCTAGGTTCGGTCTCTGAGTTGGGAAGATCCCCTGGAGTAGGAAATGGCAACCCACTCCAGTATTCTTGCCTTGGAAAATTCCATGGACAGAGGAACCTGACGGGCTACAGTCCCTGGGGTTGCACAGAGTCATACATGACTGAGCACATACGAGCAACATTATAAGCATTGTCATATGTTAGCTTTTTAGAAGTCATGATTTCCCAGTAGCCATTCTATATGTCATTTGTGGATAAATACTTTTTTCTTCCTTATTGCTTAGTAACTTCTTTTTCCATGGCAGAAAGGAGGCTTTGATATCACTTTGTTTTATTCCTCATTACATACAATGAGAAGAATGGCATTATTCTATGCACATAAATTGAGTGCATGTTATGTGTGACTTAGTTGGCTGGATCCCACTAGCTGCTTCTGCATTCAGTCTATTTCAGCATGGTGTCAGTTAAGGTTCTTCAGCAAAACAGAACCAATAGGATGTATATAGAGAAAGAAATTTATTGCAAAGAATTGGTCCATATGGTTTGGAGGCTAACTCTTATCTGTAGTTGGCAAGCTGTGATCCAGAAGAGCCAGTGTATAGTTCCTGTCTGAGTTCTAATCCAGAAGCAAGAGACGACCGATGTGTCAGCTTGGAGACAGTTGGGAAGGGAGAACTAATTCTTTCTTACTTCACCATTTATTCTATTCAGGCCCTCAGTGAATTGGATGAAGCCCGCCACACTGGAGAGGACAATCTGCTTCACTCAATGTACAGTTTCAAATATTTTTCTTGTTCAGAAACACCCTCCCAGACACACCCAGGATACTGTTTAACCAAATATCTGGGCATCTTGTGGCTCAGTGAACTTGATACATAAAATTAACCATCCCAAATATGTTGTTTCGGTTGCAGTCTTTGAAGAAAATTCAGCTGTATACAGATACGTATTTGGAAAGAAAAGCATATTCTTTTTTGATATTACACCAAAACTCAAATGATAGTTCCTTAGTTTCCAAAGAAGACATAAAAGTGGCCAACAGATGCATGCCGAGGTACTCAGCATCACTGATCCTGTTGTCGTTGTTCAGTTGCTCAGTGATGTCTGACTCTTTGAGACCTCATGGACTGCAGCACGCCAGGCTTCCCTGCTTTTCACTGTCTCCCGGCGTTTGCTCAAACTCATGTCCATTGAGTCAATGATGCCATCCAACCATCTCACCCTCTGTCACCCCCTTCTCTTGAGGGAAATGCAAATCAAAACCACAATGAGATACGACCTCACACCTGTCAGAATGGCTGTCACTGAAAACACAAGGGCAAACATGCTTTGGTTAGGGTAGAGTAGAAGGAGAACATGTACACGGTTGGTTGGAATATAAATTGGTTCAGCTCTTGTGGAAAACAGTATGTGATTTCCCCAAAAAGTGAAAAATAGAACTATCATATGGTCCAGCAGTTCCACTTTCTGGTGTATAGCCAAAGGAAACAAAATCAGTGTCTTCAGTAGATGTCATGTTGGTTGCAGTATTACTTACAATAGCCAAGACATGGAAACAAGCTAGGTGTCCATCAATGGATGACTGAATAAAGAAGATGTGGTAACACATTATTCAGGTGGAAAAAAGAAGGAAATCCTGCCATTCACCATCATGAATCAGCAGTGTGCTAAGTCAAACAGAGAAAGATAAATATTGTACGGTATCACTTATATGTGGAAACTGAAATCTGAATCTGAGGGACCACCGTGGTGCTTGGCTTTTGGGTGGAAAGTTCATAATACTCGGGTCACCTGCTTATAGTGGGCCCACCTCTCAGGACCCTCGCCTTAGCAGTCTGGTGGTTTATGCAATTCAGTCTGACTAGTTCACCTTTGTGAATGTGAGGATTTGCCCTGTAATGGCCTGAGGCTCTTGTCATAGCCCAGTGGGCCATCCACTGGGTGTGAATATGTCACGCCACTGTCACGGTTCCACACACCAGAGTTCCTTTTTGGGTTGAATCGGTTTGTTGATCTGCTGCGTAACCAGTCAAAGTTAGTGACTTACTGTGGCAGTAGCTTCTGTTCTCACTACTTCTGTGGATCAGGAATTTGGGAGTCGCGTGGCCGGGCAGTGCTGGCTCAGCATCTCTTAGGGGGCTGCATCATCTGAAGGCTCTCCTGGGGCTGGAGGACCTGCTTCCCAGCTGGCTGCTGGCCTCACTTCCTCCCCATGGGCCTCTTCCCCAGGGCTGCCTCAGTGCCTCACACGTGGGCAGGGCTCCTCTCAGAGCGGTGGCCCAGGAGCCCAGAGCAGAGCCCACTCGCCACACCCTCCACCCTCCTTCCTCGCCACACGGCCTGCTCTGTCACTGTGTGAGGGGACCGCTCGGGGACACGGGCTCCTTCCTGAGGCCGTCTCGGGGGCCGACTGCCGCGGGAGGTTGTGCAGTGTCCCGGCTGCTGAGCGGTCCGGCCGCCCCGTTCAGTGTGTGCGGACGGAGCTTCCTCTGGGGCCGGGGACGTCTTCCCTGCATTCCCGCTAATTTTCATCTTCCCTAAGGGCCAGAGGGCCCCTCAACTGCTTTCGTCTCTATCTCTGTTCTTCCTGCTGGCCTCTGGCCTCTGGCTGTCCTTCTGTCTGAGATTTTAATCTTTATTCCAACAGCTAGCCTATCTTGATTAGAAAATCACTCATCACCTTTGCTGGGTGGACCCATTAGAAGATGTAGAATAAATATTTGTCTTTGTGAATAATTTCACAAACCTTGGATGCATAGAAGGAGCTCAAAAGCTAGATCTTGCGAAGATAATACCCCTGGCTGTTTCCTGCTGGAGTTCTAGGGATCCCCAGCCACAGGCTCTTTTCCTTTACTAGTTTGCTTCACCCTCATTCAGTCCCACGTAGGCTGTGAGTTAGGGCTTTCAGAAAACACAGGAAATGAAAAGTTTGGGCTTTGAAGTGCTGACTGCAATTTGGGACCTATTTTCTGACCTGAGGCCTTGTTCTTCCAGGACCCCACACTTCTATACATTGATTCTGTGCTTTGCAGTTTCAAAGCAGGGTCCCTTGAATGATGGCATTTTGGCATCACCATAATCCTGGAAGAAAAAGAGGCCTGGTTCCACCTAGAGCAGCCCAGCCAGGCGGGGCCAGAAAGCCTCCAGGTCCTGTGCCCCCAAGCCTAGGTCCCTGTCCCCCATCCTACAGTCACCTCATGGGTTTATCAGATAGATGCCTGCTTGGAGCCCACAGGGGCGCCTGCATTGCGCTTATTTGGTGCAGTTGCTTCATTCCTCACTGTCTCCCTGTCCTTCTGTCTCTGCATGGGAGCATCGGCAGACAGGCCCCAGTGCCCTGAGCCGCTTTGGTGGGGGGAGGCTTTCATGTCCTGTAGGCACAGCTGCAGCCCACAGAGGGCGGGCCTGTGAAATCCGCATTGGTTCCGGCTCTCTCTGTATTGTTGGGGCCTCCGAACCAGCACATGCCTCTCTCAGTCCTCACAATGGCCTGGGTTGAAGGATCCCCCGCAGGAATTTAGATGTGGATTTGTTCTGACAGTCAGTTCTTAGGTTGTCCGGAAGTGGAAGAAGCGTGGAACGCAAATGTCCAATTTCTCACTAATTTAAAGGCGCCAGTCCTGAGTCTTCTGGGGCATTTTCAAGTTTCTCTCCTTTCTTCAGGGAGAAGCTATAATTTCCAGGCAAACACTGATACTTTCTACCACTCAGCTTCGCTGGCTTTCTCCTCCCAAGGTGCTGATCTGGTGGCCTGAACCCCTGGAAGAACCAGGGTGTTTGTAACTCCTCTGCAGAGTTCCCTGTGCCCTCTGCCACTGCTGACACTGCAGAGATGGCTGGGTTCCTGGACACCATGTCCACCCACCCCCTCGCTCTGTTGAACTGTTTTGTGTCCTAAGCAAAAAGCAACCTCCTTCTGTGTGGACTTTCTCAAGGATTTAGAGATGGAAATGTAGAAAGTATGGAGAGACTGCTCAACACACCTTCTTTTTCCTTCTCTTGCAGCCTGCAAGTATTCCTGTCACAAGAAATGTGAAGCCAAGGTCAGTGTTACATCGCTCTCCCGTGGGGCTTCTGGAGCCGAATTGGCCCGTGTTGTTGCATTGGATCATGGCCACAGAAACAAAATTCTTTAAGAAATGGCTGCTAGATGCTTTCTGATAGGGTATATAGTTTTCATCTCAAGAATAAACTGAGGAGCTATGAAATCCATGTTTTTAATTATAGAAAAATAACATAAGAATTTGGTTTCAGAAAAGAATTTGGTAATTTTGTCCTGGCCATGTCACAACCCTTTCTCCACATCACATGATCCCTTCTTTCTAATCACATCGATGTGCTGTAGTAGGGGTGGGGGGCGGGTAGGGTCTCGGGCACATGGCTGGGCTTGGGGATTTTTCTGGTTTCATTTTTGAATGTAGTTCATAGATGGGATTTGGAGGGCTTCCCAGGTGGTGCTAGTGGTAAAGAACCTGCCTGCCAATGCAGGAGACGTAAGAGATGTGGCTTTGATTCCTGGGTTGGGGAGATCCCTGGAGGAGGAAAGGACAGCTCACTCCAGTATTCTTGCCTGGAGAGTCCCATGGACAGAGGAGTTTGGTAGGCTGCAGTCCATGGGGGTTGCAAAGAGTTGGACACTACTGAAGCAACTTAGCATGCACATACATGCATGGGTTGGGATTTTCAGGCAGTCACGGAAGTATGGGGACCCTGAATCAGGGAAGTTGTCCTGCATTTGTGCATTCCCTGGGAGGGTTAAATTGCTGGGTGGCCTCATGAAGCACTTGAGGTCTGGTGTGCTGGGTTGGGTGCAGGGTTTCGATTAGTGGGGAATGAGGAGGCCTGGAAATGACATATGGAAGCTGCAGGCACCCTAGATAAGGCCCCGGTTTTCTCCATGGGTCCCGGTGTCTGCATCTCTCGCACATTCCAGGTGTGATGTTACCTTGAGTGGGGCCAGGGCCCACGCATCACCTCTCCTTTTTGGGACCCTCTCAGATTCCCTGCAGGTCACCCTGTGGCTGGAGGTCCAGGGAGATGGGGTTTAGAGAGTCTTGGGATTTTGTCACTGCTCTGGACCTCATGGGTCAACCTTTCCTGGTCCTTGGGCTCTTGAGTGGAAGGAATGTGTGCTGGAGGCTGGCTTTGTGGAACTGTGGGCTGGCTTCACGTGTGTGCTCTCCATGTGAGGATCCTGGTTTCCTCTACTCCCCTCACCATACACACAGGTACACACATGTAGTCACACACAGTCCACACTTGCCCATGCCCCATGCATGCACACACTTCACACACATGCTTGCAGTTTACTCACACGGGCATGTACACACACATAAAGCTAGAAAAGTTACAAGTGGCTCTAGCCCTGCTTTTATTAAGAAAGAGATTAAATGAACGAACTTTCTTATTAAACTTTTCTTATGGAGCATTCGGGACTCATGGGGAAGTGGCAAGGCTAGGATAGAGTGCAGTACTGCTCTGTTATCCAGCCCCCAAGCTGGCCAGCCACCCCCCTAACCCCGCCTGAATCCCATTTTCTTCCGAGATGTCACATGATATGTGCTTTAGTTGGTTCAAGATCAGGTCCCGTGGTGGGGCTTTGGGGCACTTCCGCTGTCATTTCTGGTCTTGCTGTGGAGAAGGCTTCCCCTTTCTGTCCAAGGCCAGGCGTCTTGCTCACTCTTACCATTGGGCGTGACTGATTTCTAACCTTGGTTATTTTAGGTCTGCTTTGCCATAGATATGCTCTTCTCTCCATCATGCTATGTACTTTCAACCCAACGAACTGTGTCAGAGCAGAGATTCCTGTAAGCTGTGGAGGTGTGAACGATGCCACCCTGAGGGTACATTTCAGATTTACAAGAGGGTTTTCTCCCATCTACTTGGTGGGGTTTGGACGGAACCCCAGCCACTGAGAGTCCCAGAGCCTTGTACTTTGGAGCTTGTTCCCCAGAGCCTCAGTTTCTTCATGTGTAAAATGAGCTTTGGGAGTTGGTGATGGACAGGGAAGCCTGGGGTGCAACAATTCTGTGGGGTTGCAAAGAATTGGACATGACTGAGTGACTGAACTGAACTGAAAATGGGTGAATAATACATCTACAATCCACTTGAATCAGTTTGCTTTTATCTATTAATTAGGGTAGTCATTTAAATTTTAAGGAAGTGGAATGAGTTATATATAATCCACATCACCACATGGGGCAGACAGAGGAGAGAGCCATGCCCAGAACCCTATTTGTCCTGTGTCATTGTGCAGGTGTGCACACGTGCACACGCCAGCACGTGTGTGATTGAACATCATGTATGTGTGCCTGTGTGTACTTTCTCATGTGACACTGTGGCTGGCCACTCTTGACCCCCCGCTGCAGACTGAGCCCCGCTGCCCTTGGCACCGACTCTCACAGGAGACCTGGTGCCAGCCACTTAGGGGATTGAATTCTTTGGTTCAAAGAATATTCCAAGAGCCTTAACTATCACTGATTATGGCATTTCTAGCCACAATAATTGGCAGTTTGCTCGGGATAGTTAAGCTTTTATTCTTATTAGATCATGGTGGAGGGGGAAATGTATCCGTATTCATTTTTTTTTTTTTTTCTTTTTGGATAGCGCAGCTTTGAATGGCAGGAGAGAATGCCACTGGCAATAACAAAGACTCTTCTTATTCCAGAACTATAATGCCTGTGCTGCTGAGCAGATCATAAATTCTCAGCCGCCCCTGAAGATAAGCACGGGGTAGGGTTGGGGGTGGGCAGTTCGGTCTCCCAGGAGCTGAGCCACGGCTCCCCCACACGGCTGGGTCCTTGATCACTGCACGTCTGTGCCTAACTGTGCATGTCCAGATTTCTTTGAGACTGAGAAAACTTAGGTGAAGCTCTGGTTGAAAACACAGGCTTTGATCTAATGACTGACTTGGGGATGGTGTGGTCGGTGGGTCCCCTGTGTGCTGGGAACATTGGAGGAGAGGAAACAGCATGCATGTCATTGTGTGGTGTGTTACTATGTGGTGAGTCCTGCTGGCATCATCACTGGCCCTGCTGTTGTCCATCAGAGGCTCCCAGCTGGGCCCAGGATGTCTCCTGGGTAGAGTTGGAGATATGGAAGGAGAGAGCCACCCTGCAAAAAAGGGACTGAACCATGAACTGGGTGCTCAGGCAGGGGAATGGAGCCTTGAGCTAGGACCAGGGTCTCTTTCTTCTTCGCTGTTGGGCAGTATGTCCCCTCAGGCGAGGCCCTGCAGTCCAAGGGCACATGGAGGCAGAGGCCTGGGCTTTTATCCTTCTTGTCTGCTGGAGCAAGTCCAGTTCCCTGGAGCCTCAGTTTCTTCATGTGTAAAATGGGTGAATGATACATCTACAACCCACTTGAATCAGCTTGCTTTTAGCTATTAATTATGGTAATTATTTAGATTTTAAGGAAGCGGAATGAGTTATGTATAATTACTGGGAAGTTTGGAATTCCAAATATCTTGCTCTCTGGGAGGCTATGCTTGTTCATGGGTGCCGCGTGAGCTGTTTGGGCATTGCATCTTGTTTTTTGTCCTGGCCTCTGGCTGACTCATTGGTAAGAGAAAAAAGGAAGTAGAAAAGAAATAAAGCTGTTTCAGGAAGGCAGACCATGGTGAGGAGACACTTGGGGGTTGGTGTCACTAGTGGGGCACCCCCTAGATGTGGTAGAGATGGGGTTCCTTGAGCTTTGGTGAGTGGGTGTGAACACTATACCTCCACTAGGTTTTTGCAAATATAAGGCCCCATGTAGGGGCTGAGCTGTGAGTTGGCAGAAAGGAAAGAGTGAGAATTTTTTCGTAAAAGTCCTGGTTGGTCGAGCACAGGGCCTGTGAGGGTCTGTGTGTTCATCACCCCAGGTCCTCACATACACAGGCAGCTTAACAGTCTCATCTGAAACATAATGGGTGATTGTAATCCAACAGGATGGTTTTGGGTGACATGAGATCAGTAACGAAGTACCTAACCAATAACTGGCTCCTAATGGGTGCTCAGAAGGAATGAAAACCAGCTACAGTGTTGAGGGAGTGTCAGTTACGTGCTGAGCTGTGGCTTTTCTAACTTTGTCACAGCCTCCCTCGGAGGTCACTGTGTCCTCGTCCCAGCCTTACAGGTGACCCTGAGACTTGAAAGAGTCACACTGCCCACCGGGGAACAGGACCTGAGAGCCATGTCCTACCTGCAAACCCTGACGTGGCCTCTCATTGAATGTTTACGCTTTCCTTCCCTCCTCCTCCCACTCCTTGCACTAAGGAAAGAGGTAGTTAATTTTTAAACTGCCCAATTCAACAAACATTTCCTGATTTGCTGTCAGTCAGGCCCCGGGCTGGGTGCCTAGATGTAGCTTGCTGACCTCAGGTCCATTTCGACCTGCCGCCCGTCCGGGACCGACCAGGGGGCGGGGCCAGTCCAGGTAGAGGATTTCCACTTTCGGTAGACAGGTGGGTGCCTGTGTTTTGATATTTGACTTTTGATTTTTTAAAAATTGATAGTAAAATAATAAAATCAAGTGGTAAGTAGGAAGAATTTATATACCCCTCTTACCGTCAACATCCACATAGCCAGGTATGGTGCACTTATTGCAATGGATGTGCCAATATCGATACATTATTTATTAACTGAAGTCCATAGTTTATGTTAGGGTTCACTCTCGGTGTTGTTTGTTCTGTGGACTTGAACAAGCATATAATGACATGTTTCCATCGTTACAGTATCATTAGAGTAGTTTCATTGCCCTAAACATCCTCTATATTCCACCTGCTCATGGAGAAGGCAATGGCACCCCACTCCAGTACTCTTGCCTGGAGAGCCCCATGGATGGAGGAGTCTGGTGGGCTGCCGTATATGGGGTCACACAGAGTTGGACACGACTGAAGCGACTTAGCAGTAGCAGCAGCCACCTGCTAATCCCTCCTCCCCCATAACCCCAGGAAACTGCTGATCTTTTACAGTCTCCATTGTTTTACCTTTTCCAGAACATTATATATTTGGAAGTGTACAGTATATATGGCCTTCCCAGGTGGCGCTAGTGGTAAAGAATC